TGGACAGAGCAAGTTCTCTGAGTAGCTCATGTGACACAACTAAATAAAATGAGTTTGACTTCTAAAAAGGAAAAATATATTTAATAATTAGGTGATAGTATAAATCACCAGCTGAAATAGTTCCACAATTTAATATTTCCAACACATCATGCCAATGCAGCCAAGAGGACCTACAAAGACAGTATTGGACCTTTTGCTCCATAGCCATCATTCTAAATGCATGTATCAAAACACCATTCTTGGATCTGCTCTGAAATACTCTCCCAAGTCACCTTAAATCAACTCCCTCCCTAACTGCTGATTCAACATGGACCAACCTCAGTCTAGGAAGGAAAAACCAGTTCACTCCTTTCAGTGCATGCACTGCCCCTAAAGCTGTAACTGAGATCACTAAGCCTCATCTCTATTCTGCTTCTCGTACTCATCTCGGGAAACACTCACATGTTTCACTACCAAGCTTCATGTTCATTATAAGGAATGTAGCCTGGGATACCCTACTTTCTTAAAAAGAAAAAACCTATCTCTCTTCAGCAATCTTTAGAAGCACTCAGTTACAAACGACACTGATTTCCACACAAAAGAGCAATAGCCAGGATTCCTGCATTTCACTATGGACATGGGTAAGAAAGCTTTGGGGACCATACTTGACACCATTACTACCTTATCGCCCCTGCCCTCCAAGGATTTGAGGGCAATTTTGATGAGGAAAGATCTTCATCATTTAAAATCCCATAAGTAACAAATTAAAAAACAGTAGCCTCTACAGTAGATACTATTTCTTAAACTATAGATTAAAGTTTCTTTAACCCTTACCTTCTACGATTTTAACCTCAGTGCTTCTCTTAAAAAAGACACCTAGCAAATTGTGGATTTTCTTGCAACCTGGGATAATCCAGCAGTCAAAGAAAAGAGCACTAACTATGCAGTAGGGCAGCCATCACTAACCTCTGAAACCTGAACAACAGTAGCACTGTCACAAGAACTAACAAGGTATTTAGCAGTCATCAGTCTTAATAGCCACTGTACTTCAGGCCCTTAAGATAGGGATATTGCTCCATCTATTACCCTGGTAGAAATAAAGCCTAGCATCTTTACACCACTATCCTAAGCATCCTTCTCTGAAGCTGCCTGATGAGTTCTGCCCTGCTTACTGGGAAAGCACCTAGCAACAATTCTGGTCAGAGTACTAGAGATACTTGGACAAAACACAAGTCTTTTTTGTGGCCATTTAAGGAACGTGCAGGATGTTCCCAGATCAAAGATCAAGCAGACAGATTCTTATCCACCTCCTCCAAAATCCAAGACTAAAAATGGCTAGACTTGTTAGCTACCTTTGATTTGCTCCCGGTTGTGCCTACTGCATACTCGTATTCCTCACGTGCTATTGCTCTGCCTTCTTTTACAAAACCTGCAGCCAGAAGTAGATTTCTGGTTTGGGTCAAAGTAAGTCTTCCAAAGAGAATGTAAAGCAATGAAAAGACATGTGCCAGATCAAAAGACAGAAAAAAACCTCTGAATTTAAAGCAGAGGGGAAAAAAACAAAAACAAAAATGGCATTTCAGGATTCCCCAAAACAGCTATGGCAAATGCACATGACTCAGGTTTTAACGACCAAGCTTTTGGTAGATATCTTAATAGCTAATAAATTCTTCACAAACAGCCCACAGAAACCCAACAGAGTTACAGAACAAACGTAACCAAAGCATTTGCAAGTGACAGGCAACCCTCCTCCCCCATGGCAGAGGCCAAACTATCTTCCTACACCTATTTTTGGCTATTACTACTGTAGTAAGTTCAGCATGTACCCAGTCTATAAAACCCAAAAGCTACCACCACATTGTAGCATCAAAAGTTTAAGCTTTCGCTATTGTTCATCTTTCAGCAACATGGGAGATGAACAACAGCCAAATTACATCTCTCTGTCATCAACTTGAACTGAAGTACTGCTGTCAGTGGCAGGAAAATTGCTACACTTCAGAGCAAATAAGGACTGAAAAGAAAGTTGTGCCATGATGGCAGTGCTGTATGCTTAAAATACCCTATAAATGCTGCTCTTAAGGCTAAAACCTAAAGCAATAGTTGGATCAAGACAAACATTAATGTACCATTCCTGAGCTCTGGAAAAAATAAATGTGTTGAAAAGACAATTTGAGGCTAAAACAAAAAATGGGAGCTACAACACAAAAGCATAAAATTAACATTCTTGCTCAGATAGTCAATGCAAATTGAAGACACCCCATTTAGTACTTTCATCTTCCACATTTTACTTAATGCTATTAAAAAAAAAAAGCACAGTATAAAGATGCTAAGAAACCCACATATTATGCCACCACTTTTTCACCGGAGTATTGCACAAATCCATGAGTTCAGCAGACCCCTGGAAGACTAACTACAAAGACAACCAATAAACCACAAACTTATGACCTTCATGTTTTCAAGGAATCAGAAATATTTGTCAACAGTGGAATTTAGTGTCATGGTACTTGATGAGATATATTCAGTAAAAAGGCCTAGAAACTCTTTGTTTATAATTAAGCAATAACGATTGAGGGTCAGGGCATTTCCTGAAGATTAATGACCGGTTGGGAGAGTCAATGGCTTGAGGCAATGCCTTGGGCCATTAACCTCATCCAGTCATTAATTTCCCCAGGAAATGCTCTGGACCTCGATTAGTGTAAGTATCATAAAAGGTAGCTAGAGAGAAAAAGTTTAGCATTAACATTCTCCCAAGGAAATCCATTCCACAGCCAGTATTTTTTCATTTTGTCACATCCCAGAAGTGCATAACTTAAAACTGACACAAGAAAAATTGGTGATAAAAAAGGGAGAAAAAAAATATTTATTTTTTTTTCTGTTAAAGACTTAAATGAATGAAGTTTGTAGCAAAGGCAAGAGTCAGGTACAAAAGTTACTGGACACCTTGTTTAACTCATGAAATTGTGAATGGAGGTAAACATTTCCATATAATTACTGACTCACACTCTCTAGTTCTAGTACCCTTGCTGATTGCTCATCTTCTTTCTTGATACACTTAGGAAAACAGCAGATGCCCGTGTACTCTATTTCAGCTATTTCTCCCTTTCTCCCCACAGCCTGCTGTTAATGAGAATCACAGCTCCGAACGCTTCCTGTAGGAAGCACGGCTTTACAACAAACACGACAGCAGCTGGATTTCTCCTCGCCTAAGCTTTATGCAAGTGTGAAGGGATTTGTGGGCCAGGGTAGAGATCGAGTTGTCTAGCCTGACAACTGAAAGTACCAGGACATCTCATTTAACAGGTTAAAGACACACACGCACCGTGACCACTGACTGCTCTGCCCAGTTCCCTCTTCCCCTTACCAGACACACAGTGCAGTGCTCCTTCTAAAAAGCTAAACCATATCCGAAGTTTCAAAATTACTTTCAAGATCATTAAAAGCAAGGGGAAGAATCTAGCGTTAAATACAGTGAGGAGCATTAGCTTTTACCTGAAATAATGAGCTAGAACAAAAACATTATCTGCACATAATCAAGCCTCTAAGCCATTCAGAGACACCAGACACACACAGCAGGAGATCAAGCTACAGTACTCCACTGAAGTGGTCCAAAAAAAAGCCTCCCTGGAAGAAAGGAGAAGTCACAGGTATCTTAAAGAACATAGATGCTTATGCAGGCATTCAGTGGGAGCCCTGCCCTCCCCCTCCCCACCCCGATAAGCCTTCAGGCTGGTTGATTAGTTGGCAAACTGTTTGAAAGGGTCAGTCTGTCCAGAACTGGTATTTCCACTCGGGAAACAGCTCAGGCATGTCATATACCTGCGCTTGCCCAGCGCCGTGCTCTCTGGCTGACGGCTGCGATCCCTGTTATTACTTGACACAAGAATGTCAGAGGGGTTTTGTAATCATGTAGGGCAGCCAGCAGTAAAAGCTCTAGCCTGAAACGCGGTATTTTATGGGGCACAACGTAACTGCATGCGCTTTACAGATTTAGTTAGAACGACTTCCAAACTTCAAGCCAATTGCAGAGGTGCAGTGAGTGTTTAATTGAAGTAATTTAGCTCCGGCGCTCAAACACCCGAGAGGAAAGTACTGTTGGAGGGGATGGGGAGCAGGCAGCAGCACGTGCTGGCACACAGCACAGGGGGCTCCGCAAGGCACACATTAAGGCACAGCTCAGCAGCGTTTTCGACAACACCGTTTTACCTTAAAGAAACACATCTAATGAGTTTGGGCTCATTCCACAGCTAAGCTGCACCTAAACCCGTTTAATTGTGCTCTTACTGTATATTTCACCACTATGGTAACTAATGCAACTAAAGACAATTTGCCTTAAAAAAAAAAAAAAAAAGAAAGAAAGAAAAGAAAAAAAAAAAGGATCACTGCCAGGAAACAGAGCTATTTTAAATAAACAAATACAAGATGAATGCAATTGCCATATTAACCCTCTTGTTAACTTCTGAAGTTTAAAATTACACCCTCATTACTAGTGTGTAATTGAGTATTCTCCCGGCTGTTTCCTGCATTTGAGGTTATTCAAATAGTTCATTAGCACATCAAGAACACCACACATACTAATGATACCTGATGCCCCTATCTACTATTCTGGCCCGATTTTCATAAGTTACATCTCCTGCAAAAAGAGAAATAAAAGAGAGGGAAAATAAATAAAAAGGAGGAAAAGGGGAGCCCATAGGGCTGAGCTGTCGATGCTGCCAAGGGGGAGCATGGCAGAACACAGGCACCATTCAAATCCAACACCCAGGCACACAGTGAGTGGCCACAGGACCAGTGGCAGGGAACGAAGAGATTGCGGGGACAATTAAGTTGGATAACTCGCATCTGGGCTCTTTGGGTGCCTGAAGAGTGAGAGTGACCCCAAGAGCCACCCCAATGCTGGCAGTGTGCCTCAGTGCCCAGCCTTGGCGGAAGAAAGGAGGGGGGCAGTGCAGACTATGTGGGGCAGGGTGAGGGGTTGCCACTTTTTTTTTTTTCTTTTTTTTTTTTTTTCTTTTTCCGGTTACCTGTGTGGGGGAAACAATAGCAGGTGAAACTACTGTGGGTGAGGTGGTGCTTCTGTGCCCATTTGCTTCGGGGAGGAGGTGAGGCAAGGGGTCATGTTTCACTGAGACCACCACCACGGCTGGCGCAGCGGCATCCAGGGGCTCAGCGGGGCGGCGGCAGAGTCTTTTGGGGGAGGCAGAGGGCCCACAAGCGTCGCCGCCGGCCGCAGCCCCTGCTGGGAACACTGCCTCGTAGAGCGCCCGCTTGGCCGGGGCCACCGCGGCCGCTTCTGCTTTCACTGGCGCAGCGTCACCGTCTTTGGGCAGCACATAGGGGTTGGCAGCGGGTGGCCGCGGCCGAGGTCCACCATTGAGGGCGGCAGGGGTGTAGCAGCCCCCGCCAGCGGGGTGGTGGAGGAGGTGGTGGTGGTGGTGGGGAGGGGGGTGGTGGTGGTGGGGTGGCTGCAGTCCTCCCAGTTTGGTGCCAATGCCAGCGATACTGTTGAGGGTGGCAATGGAGACGGCACCAATGCAGTGGTTGGTGTAGGTCTTGGAGAGCTTGGCCGCCTTGGAGAGCATCTGCATGCGGGTACCCAGGAGGTTCTTCCCGATGGCCTTGTTCTCGTACCAGGTGATGTCACCCTCGCTGCAGTGGTCCCGCGGGCGCTGGAAGAAGGCCTTGCAGAGGGGGTTGCGCTTGGAGAGGTACTTGACAAAGCTGGCATAGGGGCAGAACTCTGTGCCAGTCTCATACATGCGAGGCAGGTTCTCCTCGTCACTGCTCTCCGCCCGCTTCTTGCTCCAGGAGGACGAGCGCGACTTGTGGTAGGGCCCCAGTGCCTTGAAGTAGACGAACTTGCGTCCGTCCTCATCCACGGCCAGGCCAAACGAGTCCTCCTCCAGCTCCCGCTGGTTCTCCCGGCCCCGGGTGCAGAAGTACATGCAGGTCTCAAACCAGACCTTGTTGAGGAGCCCGAAGGGGCTCTGGGTGCTGAACACGCTGCAAGTGTAGAGCTTGCGGAGGTCGGCGCGGGTGATGGCCTGCTTCTGCACCACCGGCCCGGCGCCCTGCTCCTCCAGCTTGCGGATGACAGCGGCCAGGGTGAGGTTGGCGGCGCGGAGCTCGGGGTCCTTGGTGAGGTCGAGGGTGCGGCAGTAGGGCGGCTCGTTGAGGTAGCGGTTGAGGGAGCTGCGGATGCTGATGAGGGAGGACTTGGAGTAGAGCTGCCCGCTCTTGGAGCGCGCCTCGGCGTAGAAGGAGCGCAGGACCCGGCAGAGCGCCCCCTTGTCCATGGTCTCGAAGTCGGGGCTCTGCGCCTTCTCGCTCAGGTACTCGCGGAAGATGCGCACGGCGTAGCGGGTGGCCAGCCGCGTGTTCTCGCTCAGCCGCGCCCGCTCCGGCCGCTGCAGCAGCAGGGCCGCCTCCAGCTCCGCGTCCTCCGCCGCCCCCCCGGGGCCGCCGCCGCCGCCGCCCCCCGGGGCAGCCGCCGCGGCGCCCCCCGGGGCAGCCCCGACGCCGCTGCTGCCGCCGCCCGGCGTACGGCCCGGGGCGGGCGGCAGCGGCTCCGTCTCCTCCTCGCCGTCCCACTCCAGACCCATCTCCTCTTCCTCCTCCTCCTCGTCCAGCAGCAGCCCCCCATCGGCTCCGTCCTCCTCCTCCTCGTCCCCCGTTATCTGCACCTCCTGGATCTCATCCTCCTCCTCGCCCTCCTCCTCCTCGCCGGCGCTGCAGTAGCGGTGCGGGCGGGGGGCGACGCCGCGGCCGGACGGCCGGTCCCCCGCATTGTTCCCGCCGCCTCCGCCGCGTCCGCCGCCCCCTCCGCCGCCGCCGCTCCACTCTCCGCCGCCGCCGCCGCTGCCAGGCATTCTCGCCATATTGCCGTCTCCCTGCCAGTCCTCGGGCAGGGCGCATGCGCTATATTGGACCGCAGCGCTGGAGCGCTTTTGTGTTTTAATGACCTTCAGCTACCGGGAGGCAAAGCCGGGCTCTTAAAGGGGCCGCGCTCCCACTGGCGGCGGCGGGGAAGGGGCGGGAGAGGTTCGGATGGATGGGGAGGAGGCTGAGTCGCGCTGAGGGGGTACCGCGGGGAAAAGGAGCCGTACTTACCGCGCCCGCCGCTCACCTCGGGTCCGTCCCGTCGAGCAGCGCTGAAGGGCGCCGGGCGCGGGGGAGAACCGCCGGGCAGGTGCGCCCCGGCCCGGAGGATCCCCCGCCACCCCCGGCGCCCGTCCCACCTCCCCATATCCGAAAAAGAAAGCACTCCGCGTATGGAGCGGCTCTTTCGGTAGGGACGGACCGCCACCGAGCTGCTACGACGCCTCGCACCTCCTCGTTCCACAGTAACTTAAACACAGACCAAAAAGGAAAGGAAAAAAAACCGCAAAGCGAAGAAAAGAAAAACCAAACAAAAAAACCCAAACAAAACCCAAACACACGCACACAAAAGACTCAGCAGCCTGTGCTTGTCCGCAGCACGGCTCAGACCTCTATAGGATGCTGCCGGGAAGCGGGCGGAGGACCCGGCCCCATTCCCCTCCTGCCGTACTGCCGCGACATCGCCCGCCGCCGACCTCGCACCTTTAGTCGGGAGCCCGGATTTCGGTCGAGGGGCTCGGGAGGAGACGGGCGCTCGGGGCATTGCATCCGTGCGGCTCGGAGTCCGCCCGAGAACAGCCAGTTGGTAGCCGCGGCGCTCGCTCGGCTTGCGGGAGCCCCGGCGAGGCTGGCTGCGGAGCGGGAGCAATAAGGACTCGGGGGCTGACGGGCGCTCCGGGCCGCCCTCTTGCTCGCTGGGGCTGCAGACCTTAGGGCAGCCGGAGGGGCCTCGGCCCCCCCGTGCCGCCGCTGCCTCCCATCGCGCCCGCGTTCTTCCTCCGCTACCCTCCTCAGCGACGGAGCAAAAACCCGAGGGGACTCCCGCAGCAGGGGTGCGGAGCCGCCGGACCCAATAAGGCCGCTTTGCCTTATTGGCAGAGGGGAGCCCCGGAGCGGCGCAGCGCGGGCGGGGGGCGCGGAGCCCCGGCTCAGCCCTGCCCCCGCCGGCCCGCGCCCCCCGCCCCGTGCGCGCCCGCGGGGCGCTCCGTCCCCGCCCGGCTCTGCCCCGGGAAGGCGGCTGCTGCACACTGCCTTCCTTACCCTTCCTTCCCGGGAAGGGTCCTTGGCCGGGCTGGGCTCGGGCAGGAACGAGGGCATAAGCCCACGGCCTCGCACCGCGGGGAGAGGAAGCCTGTCCCACTCGGGACGGGAGGGGATGAGGTGGGTACCCTGCCGGTAGCACCCCCTCTGTCCAAACCAAACTGCCCCACAGAACTCGCTCCTCGTGCTATTTGGCGGGCCATTTCTTTTATTCGGTACGATGAAATAAATATTCATTACGACTGCTGGCTACACCTGAAATTATAGCCCTAATTGCAGAGCTCTTGGCCTGAGTTTACCACATTTGCTGCTTACTCATCCGTAAGAATTGCTCAGCGCCGGGCCCCAGCCGTGGTGGTTCCCTCTGGGGGGGCTCGGTGCCCGCCGGTGCGGGCCGTGCCGAGCGCCGTGGCCGCTCCCGTGGGGCAGAGACCGACGGCTACGGACGGGGCGGCCCGGACAGCTCCAGCTCTGGCCGTCCGGGGAAACGTGGGATGCCAAAGAAGGGATGTGCAAATTGTCGAGCAAATTAGGCCAATTCGAAATAAATAAGCACTGCGGGAAGAGAGGCTGCCACTCCCGGGAAATAATTGAAGAGAAACCCGGCACTGTTATATTGATGTAAGCCTGGAGTAATTACACGAAGGTCAAAGTTGTTGCACGCACTACAGAAGTTGTGCTCACTGTAGTTTGAGAGCGGATTATGTTCCCTCTTAAGTCGACGGCACATATATAAAATTCTGTTGTGTTTTTTTTTTTTCTATACACGTAAGAGTACATAAATAAGGGTTTTCTTTCCCCTGTCGTACTTTATCTGTAATCTAATCCTGAAACAAAGTCTCAAAGACCTTCCCATGAGAGAGACCAGATGCTGAAACAGATAGCTAAAAGAAACAATACCTTGTTGTGGTTAAAAGCTAAATGTCCCAGACAAACTCCTTTTAAGAGCTATTACAACCCACTCTAGAAGACAGAGAACTGCAAGGCTTGCAGCATGAACTTTTTTTACAGAGATTATTTTTCTTTATTGTTCCCGTAAATGCTAAAAATTACGTGATAGGCACTGACCTTTGATTCTGTCTTAAGATCGTTGAAGCCACTTTTTTTAAAAGACCTTTTCAGAGCCATATGAGTGCAAAAGGTAATTGAATTTTTTTTTTTAACTTTAAAAAAAAGATGAACACCAGGTTGACAGCTTCTGTACTTGGATGTTCATTTAATCACCATTTTCTGATTACAGGAGGTGAACTATGTTGACAGACTTGCAGATGAATATGCAGCCCAGTATACGAATAGTAAGTATAAAGGACATAAAGAACTTGCAGTGAGGTTGGAGGGGAAAAATGTATACGGAGCATCCATATTACACATATCAAGTGGAAGCACCTCAGCAGCCAGGGGGAATTCAGAGAGTAGCAGGTGAGGTGTTCAGAGTGCTGCAAGTGCCCGTAACTGGGAAGACACATGCATAAGTTATATACCTGTATAGCCGATATGCATATAGGAAAGTTAATAATATACATATATGTTAACTTACTATTTGTCTATGTTCCTAAAAACAGCATTAACCTAGTCATTTGTATTCCAGAAGTTTAAATCCTATTGTTCAAGCTCTCCAGTTAGATAAGGTAATCGAACTGCATTCCAAAACTGACAGAGTTGCACAAGGTTGTCTAATGTGAGCTGGCATATAACATTAAACTTACATCCACTCCACCCTCCACGTCACTAATCAGAGGTTTATCCTGCTGAGAGCTCTGTGCAGGCATAGACAGCATTCTGCATTCTCCCCTAGGACTCAAGGTTTGAGGCTGATTCTCAAATATGTCCTGTCCACACTTGGAGAACACATTTTATTGCTGCTGTCAGTAAAGAAGACGTGATACCCACAGAACACTAATAATGGACTGGCCTCACTGAGGATTATCCTTATGAGTACTTGGA